GGATGTTCCACTCCTACGAGGAACCGCCGTACTCAGTCGACGCGAGGCACGCTGTGAGTACCTCCTGAGGGTCTCTGTTCTGAACCTGACGAAGAGACACGAGATCTAGCGCGTCTAAATAACATTTGCCGTTTGAACCGTATTCATGTTGACAAACGTGGAAAGGTATGAATGAGAACGGATACATCTCTAGTATTGTGAAGATATTCGTTTTCATTCCATAACTTTCCACATTTGTTGTTTCTTTAATCAATTTCGATAATAAAATTTCCAGCGCAGGATTGAATAACATTTGCTGTTTCTTTAATCAGTTTGATAATGATTTTTTTTTCTCTCAGGGCTACGAGGAGCGAACTTATCCGGCCAAGAAGTGGGTTTGTTCGAAGGAGGAATCCGATGACGGAACCCAGATCATGGAGCATCTTTTCTGGCGTCTCTTCCGCTACATCGACGGCGAGAACGTGCAAGGTGAGAGCTCCTGCATTTTCGCTCTTCCATTTAGAAATACGTTAATGGTTGTCTCCTTCTTGCATTTAGAAATACGTCAATTATTATATCCTTGCATTAATACTGTCAATGATTTTCTCCTTCTTTCATTTAGAAATAAAATAATTATCTACTTGCATAAAATACGTCAATGATTATTTCCTCGCATTTAGAAATACGTCAATGCGTTTCTCGTGTTTGCATTTAGAAATGCGTCAGTGATTTTCTCCCTCTTGCACTTAGAAATACGTCAATGATTATCTCCTCGCATTTAGAAGTACGTCAATGATTATCTCCTCGCATTTAGAAATACGTCAATAATTTCTCCTTGCACTTAGAAATACGTCAATAATCATGTACTTGCATAAAATACGTCAGTGATTTTCTCCTTTTTGCATTTAGAAATACGTCAATGCTTTTCTCCCTCTCGCATATAGAACACTCCAGCACCCTGGCCCTGTATTTTGAATTTTGAAACATTGGTGTCTGGGAAATAGTCTCTAAAGTTCACATTTAGTACTTCATTTTGAATAAATAAGGAATTTTCCATACAACATTTAGCGAGACAAGTATTTAGTGGGTTGTGTTGGTGAAACTGGTTGTTACTAGCGTTAAGATAGTTTCTTACATTCCTCAACTTTTCATTTGCTACCATACTCAGGGTCTTACAGTAACATGCTGCCAGGATTGCTTGCTTCCGACTGAAATCAAAGTAAAAAAATACGGTGGTTTATTCGTGAATGTTGTCACATCTATTTCTCTCCTAAAAAAACGGAAATTAACATATGCTCATTTGTAAACCGTTTATTCTGTATCCTATTCGTCAGTAAAAAAAGGTCTTTGGTAAATTATTCGTGGTATGTTGTCATATTCATTTCTCTCCTAAAAAAAACGGAAACACTTAATATTTGCAAACCGTTAAATTTGTATCCACCGTTCTTAACTTAAACTAATACCATCTCTCCTACTTCTTTGCTCTTTCCTTCGTTATCTCCTCCCCCTCTTTCCCTCCTTCCTCCTTCCCTCCCTTCCTCCCTTCCTCTCCCCACTCTTCTCCCTCTCCTACCCTCCCAATACCCCACCCCACCCACCCCCCATAGCAAATTTCGCCACTCCACATCGCGTCCATGTATTCGGTACTAAAAAAAAAAAAAAAAAAAAAAAAAAATGTCTTCCACAGAGTCAAGACCCTATGACAGTGCCTGTGACCACGGAGTTCACCGCCCTCCGCGAGATGAACAGCTTCAAGATGTGCTTCTTCATCCCCGAGAAGTTCCAGAACAACCCGCCCACGCCCACCAACGCCAAGATCGCGGTCACTCTTCGCCCGGAGATCACCGTCTTCACCAGGTATGAGATAAGTTTTTAATTGTGTTTTTTTTTTTTTTTTTTTTTTGGTGTTTACGAATGAAAAATATTTGATTAATCGGGGTAAAGTTTTTAATGTTTTTTTTTCGGATATTTAGAGTGTTTACGAATAAGAAAAATATTTGATTAATCGGGTAAAGTTTTATTTTTTCGGGATATTTAGGGTGTTTACGAATGAAAAAGATTTGATTAATCGGGGTAAAGTTTTTTAATTATGTTTTTCTTCGGGATATTTAGGGTGTTTACGAATAAAAAAAATTTGATTAATCGGGGTAGTAACGGCATTTAGGGAGTTGTTTGTTTCATTCGAAAAAGAATATTTTTAGTAGTCATTTTGAGGTCATTGATCCTATATTTATAAATAATAATTATTTAGTTTTTTGGTATTTTGGTTACATTTAAAAAAAAATCTTTACTGTGATGTGATTCTGATAATAATAATCTGATATTTATTTTCTTATATTATCAGGCAGTTAGGCAGTTACACCGATATGTGTTAGTGACATAGTGAATCTTAATGACACAGTGAAACCCTTGACATAGATTCATTTGGTTCCTCTTAAACTCTCCCTAAATTTTAAGCTTTCCTTAAGTGCTCTTAAACTAATTCCATCTTAGTTGTAAAGGCCACTTGACAGTATTCCATTTCAGTTGTTAAAGGCCACTTGATGGAATTTCTTATTTAATTAATTAATTTATTTTATTTATTAATTAATTAATTAATTTTATTTCTTATTTAATTTCTTATTTAATTTCATCTTAGTTGTAAAGGCCACTTGATAGAATTCAATCTCAGTTGTAAAGGCCACTTAATGGAATTCAAATCTCCTTCGCAGGACCGTCGGAGGATACATGACGACCGCCAGCGACTGGTTGAGCGAGGCCGCGTCCTTGTCCGAACTCGTGGAGGCCGACGGGATAAAAGTCTCGCTCGTCCACATGTTCTGGTGAGTTTTTTGGCTTCGTTCGGACGAGTAGTCGTGGCTTCGTTCGTTCGAGTGGTCGTGACTTTGTTTGTTCGAGTAATTCTGCCTTCGTTCGTTCGAGTAGTTATGGCTTCGTTCGTTCGAGTAGTCGTGGAATGGTCGTTCGAGTAGTCCTTTCTACGTTCGTTCGAGTAGTTTTGGCTTCGTTCGTTCGAATAGTCCTTTCTACGTTCGTCCGAATAGTTATGGCTTCGCTCGTTCGGGGAGTCATAGATTCGTTCGTTCGAGCAGCTCTGGCTTCGTTCGTTCGAGTTTTTGCGGGGGCGTCGGAGGAGCGTTGTGTTCTCGTCTTTAAAAAAAAGTGTCGCAGAAACACGATATCCTCAAGGTCACGGGCACTGACCTTTGCTCAGGTTCTATTCCAGGTCATTGACAAGGACACTCCCGCACGTAGCATTATTGACATTATATAACCACTTGTGCGGGGCAATGCTGGCGTCGTGTGGCCCGTCGCCAGCCTTGCGTGTCTCGAAGTCATGGCCAAACAAGAGAAGGAAATATTAGCAGTAGCCTTTTGCATGGATCGTGACTCACCTCCCACGAACGCTTGCAACCCTGGAATCAGAAATATCTTCTCCTAATATTCGGTTATTATTATTACTATTATTATTATATTATTATTTGTTTTTATAATTATTATTATTTGTTTTTATAATTATTATTATTTGTTTTATAATTATTATTATTTTTTTTTGCTAGCTGTCACCTCCCTATACCTTCTCCTCCTACGTTGATATTATTTTGTTTATTTATTTTTATTCCTTTTTTTTTTCTTCTTTTTTGCTAGCAGTCACCTCTCCTATCTCCCCCTGTATGATTAATTTTTTTCCCGTGTTCTATTCTATACGTCTTATACTCACAAAGAAATTGTATGGGAAAGGATACCTTAGGTGTGTATATATAATGATTGGGTTGTGTAGATGCATACTAGATAAAGGACAAACTCACCTATATATATTTGAAGATGAAAATTCTAAAGGACAGACTCACCTATATATATTTCTAAGATGAATTATTGCTTAAGGACAGAATCACCTATATATATTTCTAAGATGAATTATTGCTAAAGGACAGAATCACTATATATTTTTAAGATGAATTATTACTAAAGGACAGACTCACCTATATATATTTTGAAGATGAACTATTCCGTATATCATTATAGCCCCTTCTCAACACCATTTTTATCGCACCTTTCCTTCAAAACCTTTCTGGAAACCTCTGAAAGCCTCGCCACACTCCAGCGAAAGTCCGCCTCATTGTTATTATTCGACGCCAGGAAGCCGAGCCAGCCATATTGACTAAATCCTGTGATATCTTGGATTGTGGTCGTGTTGCTGCGAAAGTCTACACTGTTTGGTCAGTTATTTTAAAAGTGCAGTGAAGTGTGTGTTTCGGATGCTTAGAATTAAGTATAGTTTTACACAAATATCTTTTTTTGGATTGGCATAGAGTAATTTCAAAGTCAGAGAGTGGAGATAAACGATTGATCTATGTATTAGGTATTTTTAATATATATTCACTATAAGATATGAAGCCATAGCCAGCTATCTTAGACTATATTCCAATCATTCCGGGATATCGAAATAGACATATCACTGAAAATATATATAACTGGTTGCTGAGGTTTCCACACAAACCCGAGTTGTTGACCCTCGCTTCCCTCCCTTCCTTCTCTCATCCGTCTATCTATAACAACTATCTATTTATATCCTGTTTATTTTTTTTATTTTTTATTCTTAGAATTTTCCAGGTATTCCCAATATTTAGCGCTTTATTTACTTATTCCATTTCGCCCATCCGTCTATCTTTAACTATCTATTTATATCCTATGTTTATTTTTATTTAGAATTTTCCAGGTATTCCGAAGATTGAGCACTTATTTACCTATTCCATTTCGCTCACCCGTCTATCTTTAACTATCTATTTATATCCTATGTTTATTTTTAGTCAAAATTTTCCAGGTATTCCGAATATTTAGCGCTTTATTTACTTGTTTCATTTCGCCCATCCGTCTATCCTTAACTATTCTATTTATATCCTATCTGTTTATTTTTATTTAGAATTTTCCAGGTATTCCGAAGATTTAGCGCATTATTTACTTGTTCCATTTTCCATTCTCTCCGCAGGGTTGGTTATGACGCTCCGCTCAAGTTCTGGAACCGCCGCAACGAGGTCTGGTTCCCCAAGGTCTAGGGGCCTCGTGTTGGCAGCGTGATCCCTCGTACAGCCCTTAGCTCCAGGCTCCGGACGACGACTCCGCAGCCCTAACGACCCTTCAGAGGAAAATTGGTCGTGAAATGTGCCTCTTGTTGTTAGCCGTAACCGTGCTGTAACTTTCCCTGGTGTTTTAAATTCATTTCAGTCAAGTCTTGGGATGGGCTTGTTTGAGATACGGGCTGTACGGGATGAGATGAATAAAATAGGAAATCATCTGTTGTCTTTTAAAATTGTTCCATTAATGAAATAAGAAATAACAATACTCCAAACCTGTAATTGAAATACGGCTGTACGGGATGGGATGAATAAAAAAGGAAATCATTTGTTGTCTTTTAAATGTGTTCCATTAATGAAATAAGAAATAACAGTCCTCCAAAGCTGTAATACATAGGTACTACAACGCAAAAAGAATATAATTTAGTTTTCCTGGTCCACTACAAAAAACATCCTATCTGGACCCAAGCACACACACGTATCTCACACGCTATCATTAGAATAATCACAAGGCTGTTCTATAAACCGCCTTTATCTACCCACTCAGATTGGAAAGTCTAATTATTGATGATTATTTAGACTTCCTCATCCTCCGTTAAGGGGAATCAGAATGACAAAGCGAATGTTATTTTTTTTCTTTATCTATTTATGTTATTATGTCTTCCATAGTCTGTCAAATATCATTTCGGTTATCAGTCCATTTTTTGACACAAACATTCAGACAGAACAGTAAGAGATCCTCACAGAAACATGAAGAAAATATCCTCACAACCATGTGAAGAAAACGTTTCTCATTCACAAAAACCTTCTTTAAAACTTTTTTTTCTCTTTACAGTAAACATCATTTATATCCAAAATGACCTCAGACACTAGGCGGGGAAACGATTGGGGCTGAAGCGACGTATATATTTAGTTACCGCATATGTGTATACATATAACAATATATATACACATGTGTATATACACACATACATATATATATGTATATATATTATATTATATATTATGTGTGTGTGTGTGTATAGATACATATATATTCATGAACACACACACACATATGTGCGTGTGTGTACATATATGTATATATGTCTATACACACACAGGCACACACACACACACCAACTCACCACACCACAACACACAACACCACAACACACACACACACACACACACACACAACACACACACACACACACACATACACACACACACACACTCACTCACACATATGTACCCAAACATATGTTTGTATAAGTATGTACTGTAAACATATGAAGTAATGAAGTTTTCATATTCCTGTGTTGCAGCATGAAGGTACGGTCAGACTACCATAAATTTCCAGCGATTTTTTGTGAGCTGGAACCAACCCACCCACTCGTGGTGTTCACTCAGCGAAAAGAACCATCGGCTTAGTCTAGTGGAATCGCGGCATCAAAACAAATCGCAGAAACTCACTCTGCATCCCGAAATCTTCTTAACTCTTGCTTTCTTTCATGTTTCCGGAGTTCTAATCTTTTCTAGAGGGAGTAAATTGCTTTAGAATTCCATATCTCGAATATTCATGGGTTCTGTGGTTTCGACTTGAAATTGGCGGCTACGTGTTTGTTTATATTCGTTAGTCAAATGAGAATCCATGGTCAATGCTTTGTTTTTACTTTTATTCGTATTTAGCTTAAATTTAGATGAAACTGTTGAAGTAAAATTAAATATAAATAATTCTGAATCATTTTAAATATAAAATATTTATGCTTTTAAATGAAAATATATGCATACATGCATACTCTAGATTCTCACGTGTCCAACTTTTCCACTGTCCATCGATAGATGAGTGGGCATCCATCGCATCGAACGAGTGGGCGAAAGTCCATCGATGGCAAATTCATTAATAATCGCCGGATTTCACGACTCTGTGGTTAGTCTGACCGTACCTCTTCGGCGGCCATCGTGGAAAACCAAGTAAGGCGTGGCTCTTCCTCCCAAGGTCTATATAAGTACTTATATAGACCTTGCTTCCTCCTCCGTGCATGATTAAATACAAATGGTGGGCAATATGGCGTCCTTAACGATATTATTATTTTTTTCTATTTGGTTCTGAATTTACAGATAGTGTTAGTTTCAGGACGAGATGAGAGTGGGGTTATAAAAAGCACAACAACGATGAACTTGTTGTTTTATCTCTTCAAGTTTATATAACTTCCTGATCATGTATGTGGTTGTGTATATAAGTATCAGAGAATTTCCTGTTTTTCTGTGTTTATTGCGAACTATTTTTTTTTTCAAGTACCATCAAGTGAATTAAGTTCTTGTCTGTGATATTATTTGTTAAATATGTGGATGTTTCAAATTTTGCTT